AGAGGTAAAGACTGCATGCCAATTTCTTGAGAAACTTAAAAACATTATTAACATGTAGCTAATATATGCTTGTGTTAATTTGGTCTTCGTAAGTCAAGCAACGTTCCAATGGCAGTACCAACTTTACCATCTTTTTCATCACTTGAAATGAAGTAGATAGCCTACAATAGTAACTAAAAAAAAATTCTCACTGAATAACTGAAACATTAAAATTATAGAAAATCTATTAACGTGTTCACCGTAATATTTCAATCCACATTTTTCTGTAAAGCATTTTGAACAGTATGAATTATTCAGTAATCTAATTCTTTTGGTGGTTAATAGAAGCCTTTTTACCTTTTATCAAAATCCATTGCTCTTATCGTACTACTCCTCCCTTATCTTTTAGCTGACTCTTATCATGATGAATCTCCAACAAAATTGTACAAAGAAGCAAGACATCGTCACTTGGGTGGGTTGCTGAATCTGTTTACTCGGAAATAGAACTAAGCAAGCTCTTAATGCCTTCATGACCCCAATTTGTAGTATGGTATTGAAACTGAAAAAGGAAAATAAGAAAGAAAAAAAAACTAAGAAGATGAAGTATTTATTTTTGACAGATTGGGAGTTCCGCTGCCGTTTTTCTGTCGGAATCAAAATCAAATTTATAGAAACTGAAAAGTAAAGGCTGTGGATGAAAAAGATGGATCGTGGAGACTGGAGAGTGGGATGTTTTGAGAAACCGTCGTATTTTTAGCAAGAAATCCTGTTTACAATTTTTTTTTTTCTTTTAGTTTCAATAATTTTTTCAAAGAAATCCACATGTCAGCTTTTGATTGTCCAGCCGACTTACGCTTTAGTATATTGAGAATATTTTTTTTTTGTTTTCAATTTATTTTTATGACTTTATAAATAATTTTCTTTTTATTACATATATTTTTGGAAATTTTTGAAAAGGAAACTAAATAAAAAAGTTAATAATACTATTTTCAACTATTTTAATTCATTAAAGGTATCGGTGTAATCAACCATTGTGAAAGTGAACGTGAAAGCGACACATAAGAAACTGACTTCTTAAATAATATTATAGAGATTGATATTAATAATGTACTAGGATAAGACCCGCGCCTTGCGCGGGATGAAGTTATTATTTTTATTATGTTTTGGAAAACGAAACAAAAGTTCGGTTTCATCTATATTAAGGATGTTCAATCTGGATATCGGGTTTCAGTATTTTGGTTATTAAAATATAACTACTATTCTAAATCTTTATTTACTTTAGTTTGATATGGTTTATATATTGGTTTTCAGTTTATTCAATTTTATACCAAAATACATCATTATTTAGTTTGAAATCATATTATATATTATAAAAATAAATAATATGATCATATTTAGAGTCATATTGTCAAAAAGTCATTTACTAAAAAAAATATTATATATTTAACTAAAAGAATAAAAAACAAAAAAGGCTTCTATGATCTAATAAAATGATCAAATCTAGAATTAATATCAAATCTCTAAATTTTGAAAATAAAAATAAAAACAAAACAGAAGCATGAAAGAAATTTTTTTATATTCTTCCATATTTAGTGTTCATCAAATTAATATGTCTTCGATTGAACACAACTCTGTTTGTTTAAAGATTTAAAAAAATTGTAAAGAATTTCAACTAATTGTTGTCTATCAAATTTATAATTTTTATTTCAATTTAGTTTTTAATAAAAAAAAAGATTAAAAAAAGACGAAGAAAATAAGAAGCCTCAGTTGCATTAAATTGTTAGTTAATTATATTTCAAGTGATTCAAGTGATTTAAAAATCATAATTATAGTTCAACTCATGTAACAAATAGATATACATATTTACATTTTTCATTTTAATCGATTATAAATCAAACCATATCCAAATCTTACGGTTTTTATAAAATCACATACATTCGGTTTGTATGGTATATACCAAAAATAACCATATTATCGATTGTGTTAATATCCTTAAAAATAAAAAATTAAAAAAGAACTAATATATTTAAATCATTGATAACAAAAATTTTCAATGTGAAAAACTTAATACGTTTATAATTTATAAATGTTCTTGAAAATTCATTGAAATTTTTGAAATTAAAATAAGTATGTAATCTTATATGGTATATAGTTTAATCTATTTATATATTTTTTATTATTATTGAATGATACTTTTTACTCATATGGTTTTAAAAGCATGTGTATCTTTTTATAAATAAAATGTTAAACTTGATCATTAATTTTTAACATAATAATTTTAATAGTTTTAGTCATTTATTCTTGTTTTTTTAAATTCAAAATATAACATATACGAAAAAAATCTAAAGTTTAATTTTATAGCTAATTTGATTATTTGATTTATTTTAATAATATAAAATTAAAGAAAAATGATGGAGGAGATACAAATTGTTATCAAATATTGATTATTAGAAACATTTATTTTCATATATATATATATATATATATATATATATATATATATATATATATATATATATTTGTCATTTATGCTAATTCCGTAGCTTTTATTTAAGGAAAGAAAATAAAATAGTAATTATATCTAGCATGACAATCATAAATGCTTCTATCATAAATATCATATCATATAGTTTGACCAACAAATATATCTAGCGACATAGAAAAATCGAATGTGGACCAATTTATTTTTCAATTGAATGTAATTGACTACCTAATTGAGTGACACGTAAGCATTGGCTCTTTTTTAATTATTACAAAATTGAGATTACAATTTTACAAATGTTTCTCAATTAATATATAGGGGATGTTAAACCATTGATCATTAATTTTTAAAATAATAATTTTAATAGTTTTAGTCATTTATTGTCGTTTTTTGAAAATTCAAAATATAACATATACGAAAAAATATAAATTTTAATTTTATAGCTAATTTAATTTTTTAATTTATTTTACTAATATAAAATTAAACAAAAAATGATAGAGGAGATATAAATTATTATCAAATCTTTATTAGTAGAATCATTAATTGTCATATATATATTAGTCATTTATGGTAATTCCGTAGATTTTATTTAAGGAAAGAAATAGCATATCATATCATTATATCATATAGTTTGACTAACTAATGTATCTAGCAACCTATAAAAACCCAATGTGGACTTACTTATTTTTCAATTGAATCTAATTGACTATCTAATTGAATGACACCTATGCATTGGGACCTCTTTTAATTAATACAAAATTGAGGTTATATCTTTTCAAATGTTTCTCAATTAATATATAGGGGATTTCCTTTTTTCATAACAAAAGTTTACTGAACTTTTTAATTTAAGTTTACTTTTTGAAAACACATAAATAAATAAAAAATATTTATGAAACATAAATAATTATACATACGAAATTTAATATTTTTTTCTAAATTTTCCTAAAATAATATATTTAATGTTCATTTAAGAGATATTAAAAAGGAAAATAAATATTTTTTTTACAGAAATAAATATTTTGATCAAATAATTTCAAAATCCTTTTAAATAATTTCCGGATGGAGCGTCTCCTCGGAACGAATCAGGCTCAACTACCACTTCATCTTAAACAATGGGCACTATACACTATTAGTAAAGTAAAAATATTATATTTTATCATTATTAAAAATTCTTTTTAATATTCAGTTTGCTTTTTAATTTATATTTTTTTATGTTGCTGGAACTTAATATATAAATAATCAGTTTGCTTTTTAATTTATATTTTTTATGTTTGTGGAACTTAATATATAAATAATAAAAATACTCAAGTAAATCTAAATTCTCATTTTTAAGATTGTTTAATATATTTTTCAGTTTACCTTTTAAGAAACTTAATGCATAAAATAGTTTAAAATTTATAAATATTTAATTATTGTAAATATTAATATGTGCTCATGAAGTTTAAAAGTTTATCTTTATACTCATATTTATGTATGAAAATTCCTACTGATCGTCACTTTATTTTTAATATTTCTTATTACTCAACATATATCCAATTATTAAAAATATTATAAAATATTTTCATTAAGCGATAAATAAAACTACTTTGATTTGATTTAATTAGAATAAAAATAATTTTATTTTCAATTGGAAATATATATAACTCACTATACTCACAAAACGAGTAACTGAAAAATAAGAGATCTAACTACAACAAGAACATATAATTTTAGAATAGTTATTTATTTATTTTTATACATATATATTACAGGATGACTCAAAATATCAATATAGAAAAATAAATTATTAACCAAATGTTATAATTCAGTTTTTTTGTAAAATTTATATATATGAATTAGACTTCAGAAGATTATCGTTATATTCATTTGTAATTTTGAGTCAAAATTTCAGTTTATTTTTAGTTTTATTATAAGCATAATATATATTAAATTATACATAATCTTACTAAAATATATTTACTTATATAAGACGATAACCAATCTAAATACAAAAATAATCAAAGTTTTAGTATATTTAGAATAAAAATATTATAGTTGAATTCAGAAAAATAGATACAATCCAAAATACACAGGTGTAACCTAATGGATTATTGACCAAGAAAACACCCAAACCAATTGAATATAACATCTCCCAAATCGTATGTGTAATTAAAATAATATAATATTTTTAATATAAGTTATACATATAAATTAATTTATAATTAAAATTAAATATCTATCTAAATTAATAAATTAGAATATATTACAATATATTTACTTTATAAATATTCATATCCGTGCATCCATGTATGCGAATGGGAAAATCACCTAGTATTCCAATAAATATTCGGACTATCTAGTTACCTATCTAAATAGAAGAAACGTCATATTACCAAATCTACTAGGATTTAATTTAGGAATTAATTATCCATCATAATAACTGTAACCGATATTAGTATGTATTCTAATAAGCGTTACATATGTATATCGTGAGTCGATCTATATAAAGCTCCACAACTTCTTACTTCTCGTCTAATCTAATTCACAAACCGCTAAAATAATGGCACTAGTCCGAAAACCTACTGCGTCGTCCTCTTCTGCTCCCCGCGATGGTACTAATCCATGTAAGATTAAAGTGCAGATGATTCGTATATGGAAGGGCGATAAGAATGAATCAGACAACTCTGTCGACATAATTTTACTTGATTCATCGGTATGGTTTGATTCGAGTTATATATGTTCCTCAAGTTGATTGTGTTATAGAGTGTTTACAACTTACAAACCTAGAGAAAAACGGGTCTTATGATCTAGATATTATTAGAATGATCTGCACTTTGATACATAGTACGTAATCGATTATTCATGAGGGTTGTTTGATAACTCTTCTCCTTTTTAGTTGAACTACCTGGAAGCTAGGTCTGATGAAGTTGCAATAGTTCTCGATTTTGTTACTTATTTAATGATTAAATTGAGTTTTGGCTAAACATAGAGCATAAACTAGCGTTTTTACATGTAAAATAATATTTGTTAATCTGCCAGTCGTATTTCAAGTTATATGTATTCACTGCACGATTGATTACATAGTCAGTGTCTGTAAGGAGTTTTCACTTACTTATTACTCATGTTGTATAGTTCCTTAATATATTCTTTCTAAACATCCAAACAAAGTTTTCAAGACATTCTAGAAGTAGATATTTGAACTTTTATGAGTATGTTAAGCTTATATATAATGCTTTCTTTGTTAATTGAGTTCCAGGGGAAAAGTATTCATGCAACTATAGGTGAAGATTATTCAAAATGGATTCAAGATATTGGTGGTGAAAAGATCAACGTGTCAGATAAAGGAAATATTGAAATTGATATCCTTGAAGAATTGATGATATCTGACTGTCAGGATCCTATCAAAACTGTTGTGAAGAAAGTTTATGGAGAATCTTTTCCAGAGTCTTATAATCCTGATTTATTCCAAGGGAAAGCTATTTTGTGTTCTACAGCTGAAGCTGTGGATCAGATTAATGATTATATGCTTTCAAAGTTATCAGGTAATGCATTGATGTTTATATTAGATCATTTTATGTTTGCACATATTAACTAATTAAGACTTTGTTTTAATATCATATTAGGTGAAGAAAAAGTGTGTCTCAGCGCTGACAGTATTTCTCCAGCGCATGCACAACCAAGTGATTACATGCGTTACCCTCAAGAGCTTTTGAATAGCATCAAAGTTCCTGGATTTCCTAACCATTGTTTGAGATTGAAGGTTGGTGTTCCTGTCATCGTACTTCAGGACTTTTTGATTTATGGACTACGTAATGGGACTAGAGTCCAGATTACACAACTAGGTGGTGCTGTGCTTGGGGCTAAGATTTTATCAGGTGCTAGTATTGGTGAGGAAGTCCTTTTCCCTAGGATACCTGCATCAACAGAAGAAAATTTTCCTATCAAAATGCGACGTAAGCAATTTCCTTTGGCAGTTTCTTTTGCAATGACTATAAACAAAAATGAAGGACAGCCACTTTCCAAGATTGGTATCTATCAACCAAGGCGAGTGCTCTCTCATGGACCGATGTACGTTGCTGTAGCCAAAGCGAAGACTGGAGATGGTTTGAAAGTTCTTATTACAAATGAAGCTCCGAAACCTCGTGAAGAAACCACAAATGTTGTGTTCAAGGAGGTTGGTGTTTCAGAGCATTGAGTCAACATGTGTTTGACTGTTTTTTACTCTTTTCTATTGCCTGGTTGCTTTTACGTTCTTTCGGTTTTCATGGTTTTTCTAATGATTTGACTGTTTCAGACAATTATGTTTACATTTTTATCTATTTTCATTTGTCTTTGCGTTAAGGCTGTTTTTTTAAACGGCGCAGACTTTGGTCTAGTCGACAATGTTGCGTTTAGGCAACACTTAGTTTCTTCATGTAGTGGACCAAAATATAATAACTAGTTTCATATGATAGATACAGAGCTCGATAAGACAAATTAATACAAAGAGATGATATACGAAATTACAGATGATGTTATTTAAGAAGATAATATATAGTGAAAAAGAAAACTCAAACATAAATACATTATTCTTTTTTTTTTATCTATTACTAAGTAAATTCAAACTCAAATGATGATGAAGTGAACAAGGCATCTAAGCGATATATATAGCAATATGAGCTAATAGTAACATATTAATATAACACCACTGAACATATTCATGTTAATACCTACTGACCATGATGTGAAATGAAAATTTTCTCTTAAACACACTATGATTCATGCAAATTTTTCTTAAACACAATATTATTCATGCAAATTTTCTCTTAAACACACCATTATTTATGCAAATTTTCTCTTAAACACATTTTTAATCGTGCAAATTTATAATCTAAAACCAAACTAATGGTGGATTAGAAAACGTATCCTCACGTTGACAATAACAGCAAATCTGAAACTGAATTTAAATGTTATAGAACTAAACATTTCTTACATCTACGGCAGAGTAACTATCGGAAATGACTAAACACAACAGCCAGAACTCTGAGCCATGTTCAATATTCGAGAGATATGGTCCGAAGTTACGAATAACACAAACAGATGGTCCAAAGCCTAGCTAATGCATTAACTGAATTTAAACGGGCTTATAATTAGCACAACTTGTACTGTACAAGTAACCTGCAGTAAATGGCCCGTAAAGACTTTAATAATTTTTCTTTGTTTGTTTGATTCCCTAGTCTGGCTCTTAACATTCACTAATTGTATATGCATTGTAAAATAAAACAATGACCTGAACTTTTATAATATTAGCTGCATTGAGATGATAGTATGAATCGCTTTAGACAACAAGGAAAAAGATTTCGTTGAGCTGTACTTTTACTTTTTCTATGCGATATGTATATACAATAAGTTATTCACACTATGTATTTATAGCTGAAATTATTGATAGGCTATACATATGATTCGATCTTAAAAGATTTTCGTAGCGAGACTTATATTAATCTATGTTTAAAATAATATTAGGTCATCCTTGTGAACGAAGCCATTCACTTAACAAATATATAGTTAAGTGGTCCAATGATTTCATGGTACGTCAAGCGCATCATTCATATATATTAATTGTATCGACGCAATGGTTCCATCAAACTACACTGCACGCAACACACGCAGTATATATAAATATATAAATTGACCAAGCAACTCTATCGGCGCAGAAAGAAATCTAATATATGGTCAGTATGTTCAAAAATATGTAGTAAAATAAGAAGTGGGGAAGTTAAAAAAAAAATAAGGATAATAAGTGGGGGACTAAATAACCGATTAGTATATTACAGTGTAGTATTCAGAATCTCTTGGTTACAAAAGAGGGCTGAAGAATTTATTTAACGAGCTATACAATTAGGAGTAGTTGACCGAATCTGCATCCTAGTAGATTACAACCATTTTCATGTTATAATCCAGGAAGCAAATTACGAAATGTGCGTGTGAGTTGTATACTTGTATACCAACAAAAGAAAAAAGATTTAACAGCACAAGTAGAGAATAGTTTTATGTGTTACTTTTGTATATGCTGTCAAATTTATTTTAGTTTGTACCCATTCAATTTTGATTACTATAATAATTCATTTTCTCATGGATTTATATTGGAAATGTTCATGTAATTACAGGGTCTGATATAAATTACTTTAAAGTATTAAAAATTACAGTGATTCAAAAAGTTTTTGAAAAAAAAAATTAATTTGTAAAATGAATTAGACAAGCAGCATTTGTATATTTGCTAAAAATATTTCATTGGAATTACAAACTGTGACAAAGATCATATAGTTTAAGAGAGAAGAATGAGAGCAATGTGATTATACACTTAAGCAAAGCTAAAGAGAGTCGGAAAATAGCTAACGAAAGCACACTAGATCCTTAGTTTTGAGGTCACAGTTTCGTCTTTACGATCACGACTTCATCGAACACCTATTAATGTTTGTTGCATTTCTTATACCTTTTGAATTGGTTTTCTTGGCCTCCTTTCCTGAGTTCTTTAAAATATACATCTACACATTCAAAACCTGTAACGGTAATATTTAAGTATCTACCTTTGACTGGTATGATTCTGATAATTAATACAAGAGATATCTCCTATATGACCCTTTCTTTATGGGTTATGATGATTCTGGTAATTAATACAAGATACACCTCGTATTACCAGCATAATAAGTACTCCCTCCAGATTTAAAAGATTGATGCTTTAGTTTTATTTGTGTATTTGAAAATTGATATTTTAGAATTGAATTAATTTACCCTGTTTAAAAACTAAAATATACCAAATTGTAATTTATTAGAATCAAATAATATGAATGGCGGAACTTTACTAGAATCAAATAAAACTAAAACCAAAAAGTAATAAATAAAAAATTAATAGAATTTATGTGTAAATTTCAAAACATTAGTTTTTTAAATACATAGGGAGTATCGGCTAGATCTCAAATCCAATTATTATTTTCTTTTAGATTTTTTTCTAGATTAAATCCGATATCAGATCATCAATGATACACTGCGAAATCATTTTGCATTAGTTTCCAGATGGTTGTGATTGATTTTGTTTCATATACAGAGATCACAATTTACAAGTAGCTAGATACGGTTGACCCTAATAAGTTTTTTAGTCTATGTTTTACGAAAAAAAAAAGTTTATTAGTCTATCTGTTTTCTCGAAACACTGTTTATGAGTCTATCTTAAGTCTTAAATCAACTAGTCCATATAATTTAGAAACATACATCAAGTTCAAGTGTATATAAATATATTAAATATCATTTACTGTCTTTTCCTATCTGTTAGCTTTTATGTATTCTAAATTAGAATGATTCCAAAACTAGAGCATGATTGGATGTTTCACACTGGTTCTGAACTTATCTTTCGTACACGTACACACTTGTACAGTTGTATAAATAGAGTCATAGAGATGTAGTAGTAGTATGCATCTACTACGATTCATTTCCACGTTAAGCTAAAATTATCTCACTCATCTCTTAACCCTCTGGTCAAAAGAAGTTCCCCTCTCTAAGATCCCACTAAAAACCTCATGCCGGCCCAAGTGATCCCTGAGCAGACCTTTCAGTCCATCCACGACACCATCATGGAGGAGACTAATTCAACTTTATTTCATAAAAGGTACAAATATATTTACATGATATAAGTACATTGTTTGTTCTTCTTGTGAGAATCATAACTTCCAAACTCAAGAATAAATTCACAATAGAGGTTTTTTTTTATTTTTTTTTTTGCATATTAGTAGTGTTGGTCCCATTTCATTTCACTTGCTCATAATGTATATCTTTTATATAGGTTGGAAGGAAAAGTAACCATCATAACCGGAGGCGCACATGGAATCGGCAAAGCCACCGTCCAGCTTTTCGCGAGACACGGTGCCACGGTGGTGATCGCCGACGTGGACGCAACCGCCGGCTCTTCCCTAGCTAAATCTCTCTCATCATTCCAAGTAACCTTTATAAGCTGCGATGTCTCACTCGAAGCTGACGTGGAGAACCTAGTGAACGTGACCGTGGCACGGTTCGGTCGGCTCGATATTCTATTCAACAACGCAGGAGTGCTCGGCGACCAGAAGAAACACAAAAGCATATTAGACTTCAACGCTGAAGAGTTCGACCAAGTGATGCGTGTGAACGTGCGAGGCGCAGGACTCGGCATGAAACACGCGGCACGTGCCATGATCAAAAGAGGGTTTAAAGGTTGTATAATCTCGATGGCTAGTGTGGCCGGTGTGATGGGTGGAATGGGGCCACATGCTTACACGGCGTCGAAGCATGCGATCGTTGGACTTACCAAGAACGCAGCGTGCGAGCTAGGTAAGTATGGGATTAGGGTTAACTGCATATCGCCGTTTGGAGTTGCCACGTCCATGCTGGTGAACGCGTGGCGGAAGGGTGACGTGGGAGGTGGTGATGAGGTGGAGGAGATGGAGGAGTTTGTGAGGAGTTTGGCTAATTTGAAAGGAGAGACGTTGAGAGCGACGGATATAGCTGAAGCAGCGTTATATTTGGCGAGTGATGAGTCAAAGTATGTTAATGGACATAACCTTGTCGTTGACGGTGGCGTTACTACTGCTAGAAACTGTGTTGGTTTGTGATGATGTGTTTCTTTTTTTTCTAATTGATCTGCTAATTAACTGGATTTGGTAAATCTTTTGTGTTGCTGGAAATTGCTGGTGAATCAATAAGACAGTGATTTTTCATTAGTATATATGCTTTTTGTCGGCAGTCAATCGATCAGTGACATTAGAACACATCTATCACAAATGCTGTTTTTTTAGTGTTGACAAAAATAAAAAAACAATTGTATATATATACACAATGTTGAACTTAATTAACTGAGACAAATATTCCTTTTAAAATTTATTTATTGATTATGTGAATAAATAAATTTTAATCTTTGAACTCATAATTATATCAATCAGAAACTTGATTTTATCTTGAAGAAGTTTTTTTTTTGAAACACAAAAAAAAAACTTCTTCAAGATAAAATCAAGTATCTTGAAGAAGTTTATTTTCTACTCCTTAACCTAAAACATTGTTGTACTGGGGACTTTTGGTCTCTACACTCTCATGTCACCCTACGGCTCCACACCCTCAGACTATGTCTAACCAATGAATATAGTCTTTTTATATGTATCAAACAACAATTACGTGTTTTAACATTTGAAATATTCATTCATAAAATATAAATTTATATTATCGTGGGATAATCTGAGAAGTAAGAACCCTTTTAAAAAGGTTTGCATTTATTATGGAAGATTAACTGATAGTTGAGTTAATTTATAGGAGTAGTAAAGTTACATCTGTCTAGTATGCCTAATTAACTGGCGCTGCACCTGCAGAGGGTCGTAGACTCGCAAACATAAATTAATTTCTTTAGCAAATCAAGAAATAAAACTAATTAATGTGTAATGCAAAAATTATTTCCTATAGATAACTACGATACTTCACAGACTTAACATTAAATAATTGCAGGTTTACTTATCAATAGATCATTAATTAACCGGCATTTTGAGAAGAAGCCAAGAAAGAGACCGATAGGAACAATTCTTTAGAAAATGATATAATAGTAACTAAAGGCTTAATTAGAAGGATGGAATCCGAATCTCTTGGACCAACTCAGAATTCTATTCATGTTATGTCATATTGAGGATCACCAACAACGAATTATACTTTATTTTACGCAAAGTTGTTTTAAATGGAACTTAGCTTTATATAGTCGGACTCGGAGCTAAAGGTTCGATATTATTAATTAATATACTAATAAAATGAATGCAAGTGTGTATGGGGGTTGTAAAACATACGAGATCAACGAAAATATTAAAATCAAATGCGGTTATTGCGGTATTGTGAATCGTTATCAGATTGAAAAATTCTATACGAAGTTCACGAAGTAAAGATTGGTTCCCAATGGTCAAACACACAGCTATACACTTAAAGAGCCATCATGAATCACGATTTCTTGTAAACAACGATTCCCATTTTTCGATAGCAGACTATATTTGACTATATGGTCTATTATTAACTTTTCAAAATGTTCTTTTTTTGTTCCGGACGATAATGAAAAGATAAAATAAAAGCCGAATTATATATCGAACCGAAATTTGGTATGTTCCATTCTTTTCGGCGAAGATATATTCTGTTCCAATGCTTTTAAGGCTTTTCTAAGGTGAATACTAGAATGAATATTAAAAAGAACTAGTAAGATGTTCCATGGTGGAAACTTCCTTACCAAAGAGTTGAGACCATGTTATAATAAGTAAAAGCATTGTATAATTAAGTCTAAGTTTTGATGTAGCATCACAGGTTCTTATGGTTGGACTATCCACAATAGTTTTAAAATTCAACATCATCTACTTCATTTTTTAATACTTCATATCATATTTTTCTTTCTTACACTTCATCATTCAATATACATCTTAGTTTTATCCATTACAGTGATTTTGTTTAATTAATTTTGACAATCAATTTTCTTAATTCATAACTATTCTTTCTATATCCAAATTAAAAATAAACTTATTCACTTATAAAAAAATAAAAAATTTTTGTATAAAAACTGAAAATAATAATTTAGTTTATAATGAAATTATTGATTTTCAATAAGTAAAAAAATATGAAAATATCATAAATGCTTAGAAATTGACATATATCTTTGGTGGTCCCCACTTTCTTCTTATGCAATATGTTAATATTTTCAACACCAAATAATTTACATTGCAATTTTCATTTTTCAATCTTTATTATAATAATTTAACTGTTGACTTTTTTATTCAACACTCTAGTTGTACATAATCTTAGGAACATTTATTGTTTACTCTAATCTCTAGGAACAAATAAATGAGTGATCTTAAGTCATAAGATATTGGTAAATATATGTATGGTGGATGGTTCATAGACTCCAATAGCACAACTTAATAGCTGTGGTTGGATTCAAATGGATATTTTAGGAAAGATTCAAATCAAGGGTACATGGAACATAAGACTGCGAGAGACTGTTTTATATTCATATGTGGAAACACTACGATAGACAATGGAGAGTATACTTTAACATTCGACAGGTCAATGCTTCAGGATAGAGTGCAAGAATCTCATCACAATGATAAATGAGTCTAATGCTTGGCCAAGTTTTACAACAGAATTGGAGGCGATAAAGATGTTGTTGATATGTTTAAGAACTTCAAAATATCTTATATCTCGAGAGTGTAAAATGGTATTTCTGATTTTTTAACTAAGATTACATGGTCTTTTTTATCATGATCTATGTTATTTAGTTGTTTTATTTAGTCTTGTCACTCAGACCTCCTTAAGTTTGAGTAATAAAATAGCGATTCGTTGTCATTTCAGTTATTATTTTAGATTTGTACATATAGATTAAGAAAACATTTAAAATACATCATTACATATAAATCTAACCATATATTAACCAATAAAAAATAAAATTAATAAAATTAATAAAATTTTCATTGAAATCATAAAACGATAATTATTTTGAAATATAATTTTTATTCTATAAGGACAACTAAATTAAAAGGGAAAATATAATTTCTAGGAATTCTTCTTGAAGAAAACATGGAGAAAACTCAGTTATTCCTTCTGCGATATGTAATCAGGCAACACTTTATGCAGTCTACAGGGAGTGTCACCAACGGAAACATGGAAACCTCCTACACCATTCAGCGATTTTGATCAAACAAAATGATAAGCTGGTCTGCGACTGCTTAATATCCATACGGATAATGAATGAGGCCTGGAGGAATGGTTTGCTACGAGATAATATCTACTGTTAGATAATTATCTTTTGATCTAAACTCGCAGAAACAAAGTTACATACATGATAAAAATATTTGTTTTGTTTGAATTAATTTAACATTCTTTAAAAAAAGTATTGTATGTTAGTATAATCTTTTGTTGTTTGTTAAGAGTGTAAATTTCGAAAAAGAGAGTAAATTACATTACTAGATAAACTGATACTAGCTATTATAATATAAACTTATCGCTTTCCACTCATGCATTCTAGGCTTAGTTTTATCCACTCTGTTAGTTTGTTTTTCTTTTGTTTAACCAAATGAATTGTTACATATTTATAAATTTGAAAAAAAAAATTCTAATCTTTTTGTTGTTTTTGTTTCTCCATGGTAGAAAAGCCAAGTCCCTTTTAAGTATTTTTTTTTCTTAGTAAAATTTATTGTGGAATCTTTTTTTAAAAATATATATAGATGATTTATCTATGTGATTTTTGTTTGTATAATAATATCAGATTGTTAAATATATATACAAATTTAGGCACTATTAATTTTTCTTCCAACACATTTCATTCATTAAAAATTATGGGGAATCACAGTAAAAATTATGTGGTAAAAATGTAGATAATATAAAAATTTCGAGACTATTTACAAAACTTACTGACTGGTAACATTTTTGGTTTATAATTTTCAGTACGTATTATTTTTAAAAAATCATAAATATCAATAACATAATAATTCTTATAAATTTGATAATATTTATTATAATTTTAATAAAAATATGAGTTACTATGTTTTCAAAAGTATTGACTCATAACGTTTTTAATGTATATATATTTTTCAAATATAAATATTAATAACATAAGAGTTATTATAAATTTAACAAATAGATGCAAAATAATACTAATTAATTTAATATTGAGGAAATATATGTTTGTGTATATTCTAACAAAAGTTACCTATATATTAGCAATTAAATTATATAGATAGTTTTGATAAGTAATTAAAATGAAATGATAGTTCATAAACATCTTTGAGTAACCAGTAAATAGCTGTATAAATTTTTTGAAATTATTTGACCAACTAACAAAATACTAAACGTGAAACATGATGTGTTAAAAATAATTTTCAGTTGTTAAAACTCAAAAACGTGTAATATATAGGATAACTGACACAAAACCAAAATATACTAACTCAGTTCCAAATACATAGAATTTTTTGTTTGATGTTGAGTTAACAATTCATTTACCAATTTTTTTAAAGGAGTAATTCAAAATTGTAACTCAAGTATTATATATCATAACTCAAACTCTAACTCAATAAAATAAAAATAATGTATGATTGATAATATTTTTGAGTTATAGTTATAACTTAAACTTAATCAATTGTAACTCAAAGAAGCTGCAATTACAATCTCCTAGCATGCAGTTACATTATCTATATGCATCTTGTCATATATTTACTTCCGCATACATATAAATTTGTCTTCAAGATAGTTGCAGATTTGATGCTACCCTTGCATTGCATCTACTCTATAATAAATTCCTAAAATTTATCTCATATTATGATTAGTGTTTATGTTATTTTTGTCCTTCAATTCGTAAAGGTGTGTTATAGACTTATTAGTTCCATAAATTTGTTTTTTCTCTTGCACCATTTCAATAATATTGTTGCATCTGTTTCCGAACGTTGGGCTTTCCTATGTTTTAATTTGTTTTGGTTCAGACTGTTAGTTTATTTCTTGGGCCTTCTTTTACATTTTTTGTTGGGCCTTTTCCATTTTGTTTCTGAGTTCTATCACTGAGTAAATATTGGGTATCAAAAATGCCAATACTCAATACTCTCTGAGAATGCAACATAGACAAACTGTGTTCAAATGTCTGGCGATAAGCCAAACAAGCATAAAAGATAGCCACACTCGCTTTTCCGTCTAAAGTTAAACATTAAACCAACCATTAAAATGTCATACAATCATTGTTTTTATACATATCGCCTCGCATATTTGAAACCGGTTCAACACGACCGTTGCGCAAACAAACCTAGTACTCAAACTCAAGAAAGAAAATCCTCAACAGAACCAAAAAAAAAAAGTAGTAATAAGAAACCCATATCTTCAGAACAACGAGGTCTTAGACGGCTGTAGTAGATTTCCGGACAGTGTAACGATAAGCAGCAACTTTCTTCTTGCGGGACAAAGTGTTATCAACAGAGAGAATGAGTTTCCCAGCTTCTCCTGTTGTGAAAGAGTTGCACACAGCTTCATCTGAAGCTTTCATCTTTCTTGGTTTCTCCACCACAATTGCATAGCTCTCTTCAGCGTTTGGTACGAACTCTGCCGTGTACTCTAAGTCCCATCCTCCAACTACTATATCCCATGTTATAGTTGCTCCCCCCTGTAATATCATAACCCACATACACATTTCATAATTCATTTAACTCACTTGGGATTTGTAGAAGATCAAATCTTTTAGATAGCACAATTTTCTTTTGTAACAAAATTAGCACCTACGGAGAAAAATCTCCAAAATAGCACTAATTAAAAGGTAAAATTGATTAAACGACTCTAATTATTTATCCTAACCTCACCTCCTAAATACTAAATCTTTAACCCTAATCACTAAACACAAACCCAAATAAAAAATACACTGAAACTTTTTTGATTAATGCTATTTTGAGCATTTTTCCTTTTTGTGTTATGTTTGAACAAAAAAGTGTTTTAATGCTATTGTATGGTATTTCTCAGTGTAAAAAGTTCATTGATATATTACCTCAATGCCTTCGATCTGAATGTTAACTTTCTCACCGCCCTTAATAGAGAATTCAGATGCCGGTTTTGGCGGTCCATTTTGTGAGTCAGTAGGGCGGCTAAGACCGCCGTACTGCACCGGAATATCTTCCGGTCTTATGAACCTGACATAGCAAAGATGGTATGCATAGTTAAACAAAATGGGTAAAATAAAGTAAACAAAAAAAAAAAACTAAATGAAAATAGTATTGGAAATGTTATGGTGGTTACTTGTAGAGTGTTTCAGCTGCATTTCCTTCTTTGGACATTACAAACTTGCTCTTTGTTCTATGTGTCAAGAACGGGCTGAACATTGAGTAGATGACACTGAAGTACCAAGGGACATTAATGAATATCTACACAAAAAAAAGATTCATCAAAATATGAAGAGTTGAATAGTATTAAAATGATCTATTAGTATCTCTTACATAATAAAATATTGGTTTGGTACACAACCTCAACATGAAAATATGGTTTGTTTATAGATATTAAGCATTGTCTTTGTCAATATAGACTGATTATTAATATTTTCAGCGTACGGACACACAAAGAATCCTTCAATTTAACTGTAGCGGTAGATGACAAAAGCTAAGAAGTAAAATTTACGGAAAGTAAACACAAAAACAAGAATCAAAACTGCACAAGTCAGAGGATGATGCCAACACAGAAACATCTAAAACCACTCTTTATTGTTTCTTCTTAATTCATTTTTGAAATTTTGAACAGATACAAGATTCCAAGATTTATACCAAAATCATGTTAAGATAAAAAGATACTAATCAAGAAAAGACTTCTTGAATGAAATTTAGAGTCCCTATTAAGCAAACATGTACAGAGCATTTAAGACACTTCAGATTCTCTTGCATGAGAGATTCGCAAGCAACAACACAACACGCAAAACAGAGCAAAACCACATGAAAAAAACCGTAAACATTTTCCGACAAAACAAGTACAGAAAACATAATCTCGAGATTCAAGTTCCTGTCTCCAAAAGAAAACAAACACTTTACCTTAGTAGCAACCATCTCAGGGTAATTATCCTGAAAGAGAGAAAGGATCTGGTTCGAAGCAACTCTAAGCTCTCTCTTAGGCATATCCTTAAGATCCGTGACTTGAATCATAGAATTAACACCACCAGGTTTGAAATGAAGCATCTTAACACCTCTCTCCAGAACCTGAACTCTCCATCTCAGAAACTTCTTGAGTTTCTCTTCGTCACCAAACACTCTCTCGTACATCTCTCTCTCTTTAAACACACCGTACGCGTTGTAACACACGGGGTGTCCTTCTTTGTCGTATCCTCTCATGTAAGCGACTTTACCTTCCAAATCCTTGAAACAACCAAGATCTTCTTCGGTTAGTTTCTCTGCTTTGAACTCTTCTCTCCACTCCAAACACTTCTCGAGCATCCTCAGCGAGTCACCGACCTTGAAGTCTCTTGCTCTGAGGAACTTGAGGAGGATGACGTCAGCTCTGTCGTCTCCACCGAGGAGAGGGACACCCCACATGGAGGAAGCTCCGAAGGAGGAAGCTGAGAGCTTCTCTTTGAGTTCTTGGAGTGATTTCTGCTCGGTGGGTTTGAGTTCGGACACGAAGTAAGTGTCTTCTTTGAGGTGGTTGGAGCGGAGGGGGATGAGAGAGGACATGAAGCTTTTCTTTGGCTCTGTGTTTGGAGTTTTGGTGGGATCAAAGGGGCTTGGTGACAATGAAGAGTCCATTGAATCTTGATTATCGATGGAGAAGAGAAGAAAACAGAGAGGAAGGAGGAGAGACAAAGGAGGATCGATGTAATGATAAGCAAGAAGAGGAGGAAGAGTGAGAGTGACGGGAGAGAGAAAGATATAGGCGTGACTTCTTGATTTCTGATTTTTGAACAGATAACGCGGCTTTTTACAATAATAAAAATTTTGAAACTCTGATAAAGTTTATTTAAATAATCTGATAAAGCTTATTTTTACTGAATTTCCAATTCCAACGCTATTTTTATATTTTATATCAAGTGATTTTTTAAATTATTTTCATCATAAGTCTTTGTTTATACATTTTGAATTTTCGATTGCATGTATTTGAAAAAATCAATTTTATCAATGTTTTTAGCCTATTCACAAATATATTTTCTCTTCATTTCAAATTATATGATATTTTATAAGGTTTATTTTGTTTTAAAATATACTCCATTTGTTCCTAAAAGATAGATTTTCTAGTATTTTCACATATATTAAGAAAACACATTAAATCACTATCGTTTACAGTAATTTTCAACTTTCAACAATTTTAAACCAATAGTAATATAATAAAACCAATTAATTTTTTTGAAACTTGTAATTTTCTCATAGAAAACATAGAATATACATCTTTTTGAAACAAAATATTTTTTAGAACATGGATCTTTTAGGAACGGAGTGAGTAACATGTTTTGTGGTTTTAAGTTATGTTCTGAAATTTTAAAATTAATTTTAGTTTTGCGAGAAACTATTCGACCAATAAAATTTTACATTTTTTATAATTAGTAAAATAATTTAAAATTTCTTATTTTTAAAAATACTTTTTAGAGGAATGTAAATTTCTTAATTTTATATATAATAAATTCAAACATCATATATTAAAAAATGGAGCAAGTATTAATTAGAATTAAACCAGAAATTTTTAATATTATTAATGCCCGAAAAAACTTAGTATGAGATGGAAGAAATATTATTTTAAATTTTCTGCGCAATTGATAAGAAGATTGTGACCATACATATATGTGTGAAGTTTTAAATTTGAGAAAAAAACACAAGAAACAAAAAGTATATATTTCAGGAAACATGTTTTGTTAATTGAATGTGAAATGAGATAGGAAAAGATCTTTTTAGGGAGAACTGGATTGAGACAGAAGAGGAATGGTCTTGGGGAAAAGAACAGAGAGGTGAAAGTGGAGCGTGAAAGTCACGTGCATTGAGGGAGGAGCGTGAGTTGCAGCAAAGAGGTAACGTGTAGAAGAGGTGATCATAATTATGAGAAGGGATGGGGGGCGTGTTTGGTTCACCAAAACTCAAAAATGTCGCTTCTATGTTCAAACACACACCCTTTATCTTATCTCTCTCGTGTGATAATATGGAGAATCTAGGTTTAGTACTAGTGCGTTTGTACAAGTGTTAGAATATCGTTCTCTGACATTTCTTAGGGTTGAATCTTATGTTTTGTAACGTATTTGTGTGTGGAATGGTGAGTGGATGTTCACTGTTCAGTGCATCTAAATCTTGGATCGAAGTCGTTTTACTTTGTTCTTTTGTGTCCTTTGTACATGTGAATATAGGGAATTTACTTATAATTAGTCTTAGAATTCGAAGACTCAAATACTAAAAAGTTATAATAGCTTGGTAAAATCTTGTTGTTACTCTCCTCTAGATTCTAAAAAGCAAAAAGGATTTTAAAGCTCACCGCTTTATTTCAAGTTTCAACATTACTAATGAGAAGGATTAAGGAGGGATTATGAGAATATTTGGGGATCCGCTCAATTAGCATATAAAATACATTAGTTTAGCCAAAAACAATCATCTTTTCCACACCATGCGATTTCGACTTTATACTTTCCAGTTCATTCCCATAAGCTACAGAAATAAAATATTTAACTAACATCATTCCAGAAAAGAATAACTAAACGAATCCCGTATATTATTACCAATGTGTCTATCAATGCAATTGTAATAACGTTGGACCACATCTAAATTGAAACTTACAATAACAGTTTGTTAGAATTTCTATCATTATTCCCTATCTTGTTAATGAGTATTTTTTTTTCGCTCTTCTTGAAAATTGAATATGAACACAAAAATTTCAGAATTTTGCTTTATAAAATTTGAAACCAATTGCAAAATTAAGAGAAATACTTTTTTGATCAAGGGATGTAAGTGCTCTTGCCAGGTTGTTTTTATTTTTGAAAAACTTGTAAGACTCCATTAAATATACAAAAACCATTACAAAATTTGGAAAATTAGAAGATGTTTTGGCGTTTATTGATAACTGGTGGGCCTCTAATGTGCTGATTTTCGTGGACATAATGCTTTAACAATGTTTGAAACCTTTGGCTTTGGAGTTCACTTTTGACTTAGTGCGACAGTGGAACAGTAATTGATTAAGTACCCTTTAATCATTCGGGGATGCCTTAAAAGACAGCCTCTGTACTGCTTCGGCAATTTACATTTTCTTTTTAAATTTGAGGGTTGGACATATTCTATCGGTTTATTTCCAACGACTTACAAATGGCAACTTATTTAACTGAATCAAGAAAACTAGTGGTTGAATTTGTGGAATTTTCTTTGATGATACATTACTTGTGATTTAAATTCGCAATTCCACAATATATACAAAAAAGAGTTTGATAAAAATTATACAAAAAGTCAACACTATTTGTTTTTTTTGGGATCTTCTTTCCTTCGACCACCACCTTTATCTTCTAATCACTTCCTTCATGCAACTCTAACCGGAAAACTCGTTAAAAATATAAGTATTTAATAAAGAAGTGAAGCATGTAAATTAAACTAATGTGAAAGTTTCCAACTTGTGAGGGAATTTAATCGCCTTGAAAGTCTACGAAGCTGAAGTGTTTATAACAGAATTTCATCATTCATGTGTTCTTTTACAGATAGATCTGGTTTCGAAATCCGAGTAAGAAACAAAGTTCGTGAAACAAACATCAAAAACGTTGGACGTAAGCCCAGTGGCATTAAACTTTAAGATTTGATTAATATGTTAACAAAGAAAACTTGGGTTTGACTAAAAAAAAAAAAAGAAAAAGAAAACTTGGGTTTGGGGAAGAACCCAATGTCTTGTGATCTACATGAAGACATTAAAGGTTGTAAGCCTTAAAGGCCTACTTATAAAACGTGAGTTAGTTAATTTGGGTTTAGTTCACTAAACGTGGAAGCTTGGACAGATGTCCGTGAAACTGCCACCATATATAAGAGTTAAAGATACATGCCGAATCAAGAAGAGTATCTTCATAAACCACAACGGGTTGAAATACCTAAATTTTTTTTTTCAAGGAGTACTTTATTAAAAAGGTTAAGTTATTGTTCGACAAACAAATTTTTTTAAACTCGTTAAGAATGAGATGAATTCATGAAAGATCGATATGAGTATCATAAGCTGTTTCACGATAAAACTAGTTTTGTCTGATACTTTCTTTTCGTTACGGTGCATAAGCGCAAGAACACCATCACATGCCCGAAACAGCACATGATAGCCAACTCTCAAAGGCTCCCTTACGTGTGTCTATGACTTTCTTTCCCAGGAAATCCATGCAGCAGAAGATTTAGAATTTGAAACTTTCTACACTAAATTTATTTTTTTAAACGAATTTATTCTCGTTTGGATGGCAGCTGTACGAGGTGATTTCTCATTCCTTTGCTACATTTATCCTATATTTGTCAGCTATTCCACCAAAAATAAACATTCCAATGTAATAAATACCTCAATACTAAACATAAGATATAAGCACTATTGCGCGCATACCAGTGCCGGCTCTAGGGGGTGGCAAACATGGCATATGCCATAGGTCCATCTTGAAATTAACTAAATTTTGTAATAAAAAGGGTCTATATTTATGTTTGTTTCTTACAATATGGGTCTAAAATATTATGCTTAACCAATTATAAGACATTAAAAAAATTTGTCCATAGGTCCTATATAGTTTTAAGCCGGCACTGGCGCATACATATATATGTTGGGACTCGTTCTCTTATTTTTTTTGACATACCGAAGAGTTATGTACATACTCGAAGAGACCACCCAATTAATCTTGGTTAACATTAAGGAATATTCTTCTAGTTAATTAGATATTTCTTATAGTGTCTCCAAGATCCGAAATTGCTAAGCAAATTGAACGAATCCAAAATCATATCCCCTATATATTAACTGAGAAACATTTGAAAATTGTAACCTCAATTTTGTAATAATTAAAAAGGAACCCACGTTTACGTGTCACTCAATTAGGTAGTCAATTCATTCAATTGAAAAATAAGTAGGTCCACATTAGATTTTTATATGTTAAACTATTGATCATTAATTTTTAACATAATAATTTTAATAGTTTTAGTCATTTATTCTTGGTTTTTTTAAATTTCAAAATATAACATATACGAAAAAAATCTAAAGTTTAATTTTATAGCTAATTTGATGTTTTATTTATTTTAATAATATAAAATTAAAGAAAAATGATGGAAGATATACAAATTGTTATCAAATATTTATTATTAGAAACATTAATTGTCATATATATATATATATATATATATATATATATATATATATATATATATATATATATATATATATATATAT